ATCAATAGAAATGTGGAGAGAAAGATACCTTATATATTTTTTTATTAATGTCACAAAAATAATTTTTTGCTAATTTTTTTAAATAATTATTAATTTATTATTATATTAATTTTACTTAAACGGAAAAACGGTTAATATACACCGCAAACATCTTTTGTTGCATTGTCAAAAACTTCTAACAAGTCATTAACAAATTTGGCCTTTTTATTAAAAACATCTTTGAGCAAAATTCTAGCACTGAGTCAAATACGTCAATGGAAGAAAAGCAAAATATCAATATTGATATCATCAATAAGAACACCAACCTTTATGTTTGTTAAGAGACGAAGTCAAAATTTAATCATAAATGGGGCCAAATAAAAAACAATGCCACAATAATTTTTTTTTATTGAAGTGGTTATTCAACTTTTGTTATCTTGAGTATCAAAGTTTAATGATATAAAATTTATCAAAATTAACTTCATATGATACAGTAATGAAATTTAGTTTGGATCATACAATCTAAAAGTTGATTTCTATTTACGATTGTGAAAATTAATTTGCAAAATGTGTCTATTTATTATCTCATTTATAATATGGTAATGACTATGAAAAAAATTTAATTGTAAAGATTAGTTTAGCCTTATCCTATTGTAAATCGTCATACTCATCCAAGTAAGTGCATTTGTATGCAAGAATGACACTCATCCATATGATTAATATTACCTATTTAATTGTTAACTGTCATGCAACTGATTGGACCATAGGTCGATTGGATTGTGGACCGGACCCTTGGTTGGTCCGATTTATTAATTGGACCGCTCAAGCAACTGAACTGCTTGTAAACCATTAAACTGGTCGATTTCAAATAAAACTGATGAATCAGACAATTTTTCAAAACCCGCTAGTTCGACTTTCAACTGAAAAAAGAATTGATTGGGAGGGTTTTTTGGGCAATTTTCCACTAAACTCTCTCTTGAAAACTTGAAGTCTTCTAGCTCTGTGGATCTCGAACCGTCAGAGACTTCTCTCTGTGGAGCTCGAACAGTCGAACAACAGTCGGCTCTTCCTTTTCGACTTCGAGTTTTCTCCATTCGGTTCTTCTTCTTCTTCTTCTTCTTCTTCTCTCTCTCTCTCTCTATCAGTCTCTGTCTTCTCTCCTCTCCCGGTCTGTGTCTTTGGTTTTGGTTATCTGAATCTTAAGGCAATGGACGATTAGGAGAATACTCTAATTTGGGTATACTAATATTTAAAAGGCATTGCTGATTATTATGCTTAATATTATTGAGTTGTGTTTTAATTTGCATTCTTAAAAGTAATTTTCTTGTACTGATGTTCATGTTATATTATTTCAATTACATCTTCCATTATTGCTGATTGTGTTGGGCTGTAAATTTCACTAATAATGGTCTGTTATGTATAATTTTTTAACTAAATTATTATATTTTATAATTTTTTATTTTTTTTTATAATATAAGATCAATCTGGCTAGTTTACCTAACAATTAAACCATTGACATCCTCTCTATGCCGATTCAATGTTCGGTCCGATTTTGATAACTATAATTAAATGTTATACAATTTAAGGATTTATATAAATCATATCTGGCAAAAAAATAATTCATAACAACAAACACATCTTTCAACCAAAATAAATACAAAAAACAAAAAAACGAGAAGAAATTTCAGTACATTAAATTTTGCAATAGTCATAAAGAAAATGGTACATACATTGTTTTCAATTTTGGTTAATTTCACTTTGTATCCCAAAAAATATGTTAATTCTCAATTTAACCCTTAAAGAATTGGATGCTCAAATTGCACCCTCAATGTTATAAAACAGTGTAATGTGGCCCTATTCCAAGATCAAATTGTAATCTCTATCTTAAATTTCATCCACGAATTGGGCTAAATTGCATCTATTTTATAATATTGAAGGTAAAATTTTAGAATTTAATTCTTTTAGGGTACAAATTAAAAAGAAAGAACATCTTTCAATACAAAGTGAAAGTAATCCTTTTAATTTTCAATAAGCTTGGTATTTCTGGTCTTCTTGGAATAGCCATTAATGCACTTACCAGCTCAATGAATTATTAGCAGCTGTCAACTGACTCCCTCTATCTTGCGCCAAAAAAAACAAAAAAAAAAAAAGAACGAGAGAGTAAGATCTCTTCTAAAACACATTTTCTCTACTTTTCTCCTTAATAAATTGCGTGTCGAGAATAAATAACCTTTTCACTAGAAAACAAAATGGGAAACAAAGTCAATCATAGTCTTTTTGCAACGATTTATTGGTTATAACTATTATTGCAGCAAAAAGCAATGCAACGGGACTTTTATTTCCGCTAATATTTTTTGTGGTACTACTTATTACAGAAAAGAGAAATGTCATTGTGACAACGCAATAAAAACTAATAATTTTTTTTTTTGTAGTGACAATTTTTTATTACTCTTGGAACACAAGGTGGCATTTTGTGCTACCAATAACTTACAATGCTTTATTCATAATAACCATCATATACAAGATGCAAAGGAAAAAGAAAAGTAGAAAGGTGAAACCAAAACACATACTAGCTACATGACCAAAGATCTATAAACATATTTGCATAACAATTCTACAATTAAAGAGGAAATATTACATATAAAACAGTAGAAGGAATCAAATTTAGCTTCGCCCAGTCCATATTCCAGGAGGTCCATAACAGGATATAGCAAAACTGGCACGTTCTTGCAACATCAAGTCCCAGATTCGAGACAATCATCTCCCATTATCTACTGCCAATATTATATGATCCGTCATGCTGTCATACCCAGCCTGAGTTGTGCTAGTATCACCAGTATTTCCGTAAACATTTGATCTCTCATCAACCAAAAACTCGGTCTCCTCTGGGTTCAATTCAGCTTTAACCCATGGATGCCTCGACACCAGTATCAATCCCTCTAGCTCCATTGCTACTTCCTTCATGGTAGGCCTATCCTCCCCTTTTAAATTCAAGCACCTATTTGCTAGCTTAGCAACTTCCTTGAGTTGTTCAGCGTCTCCCTCGCGTACTAAATGACCATCAAGAATTTGGAACAAGCGATCCTCATTCAGTGAAGAAATAAAGTGCATAGCCAGAACTCTCTCCTCTTCTGGCCTATCGAAATTTATTGCCTTCCTTCCTGTTAGAAGCTCTACAAGAACTACTCCGAAGCTATAAACATCACTTTTCTCTGTCAATTGGCTTGTTTGCATATACTCAGGGTCCAAGTACCCAAGAGTTCCTTGCACTATCGTAGATAACTGATTTTGATCCAGAGGAACCAACCTTGACGCTCCAAAATCGCCTACTTTTGCAATGTAATTTTCATCTAAGAGTATGTTGGTAGACTTGATATCTCTATGGATGATAGGGGGAGAAGCTGCAGAGTGCAAATATGAGAGTACTCCAGCAATTTCTGCAGCTATCCTTAAACGGGTGTCCCAAGAGAGAGCAGACGCCTTGATCTTATTGTGTATGTGATCAAAAAGGGTGCCATTGTTAATGAACTCATAAATTAGTAGAGGGACTTGTGTCTCTAAACAACAGCCCAAGAGCCCGACCACATTCCTGTGGTTGATTTTAGAGAGAACCACCACCTCATTGATGAACTGTGTAGTTTGATTTTGATCTACTATTTTTGACCTTTTGATGGCAACTACTCTTTTGTCTGTTAAGCATCCTTGGTAAACTGTGCCATATCCACCTCTCCCGATGATTTTGCTATCATCATAGTTGTTGGTTGCATTCTCAATTTCTTCGGAGGTGAAAATTTTTACTGCATCTGTTGATCCTTCTTGTCCGGCGAGTCGTTGAAGCAACATAAAGCCACCATTTTGCAGGAAGAACTTTTGTTTGAGCTTGATTGATTTTCTTCTCTTCAGATCAAAGTACAACCAAGAGCTACATACGAGCAGCAACACAATGCCCACAGAAATACCTATAATTGCATTTGAAGAACCGCAAAGAAAAAGGAATAAATCATTTTAGTAAGACATTGCATATAAGTATAATGGATGTAACTCAATGATCCGAGAAAGATAAGGAATAAAAATGTCAGATGAGCGTGCAAGGTTCCCACCTATAACAGGGTTGGGAGGGAAAGTGATACAAGAAATATCATACAAGTAAGATGGATGTTGTTTTAAAAGAAGTTTAACAGTCTCATAGGAAAAGTCAACATCATTTTGCCATTAGCTACAAGCATGCCCCTGCTTCGAGGATGAAAAAGGGATTTAACTTTCAGTGCTAATTGGGCTACAAATTTTACTAAGGTCCCAAAAATAAATCTAATATTCCGAAAAGGACAACTTCCTCCGACCATGCATGATACCTGTAGATCGTATTCAGTTCAAGTCTTGCTTTAGACCTTGCTAATGACTACTTCATAAACCAGAAAAAAATTATTTTCACTGATAGTTTTATGAGAGAAAGAGTGGAAAAATGACATAAGAAGTATAAAATTTCATTTCAATCAGCCCAATCCAAATGGAATATCAAGCTAACTTCCTTTAACAGAAAGCAAAAACTTTCTACTTTTCTCAAACTAACAGCAATAGATGGGAAGAAGAATTTGATTCCTCAGGACACGACCACATACTATGATCTCTTCACTTGTAAGAGGAGCAAAAGTGTGATAATCCCCACCAGTAGTTGCCTGACTAGCTAACAATGGATTAGCAAAGAAAGCTTCCATGTGCATAATAGGAAAAATACAGCAAGTAAAGTTACCTAAAGCAACTTTGATCACCATTGACTGATTGGCAGTGCAACCTTCTCCACCTTTTCTACCATCCCCATGGTACCCCTCTGGGCAGGTGCACGTATAGTTCCCTATCGTATTATGGCAACCTTTTTCAAATTTACAGTTATTGAGACTTGGATCTTGACATTCATTAATGTCTGCAAAACAATTGAAAGGAAAAGGCACCCATTACCGAAGCTATCGATAGCATGCAATAAAAAATAAATAAAACTAAAGATGGGTATACTATAATAATACCTTGGCAGCCATTAGTGAGGTATGGGTTACCTTCGTACCCCTCCACGCAATCACAGCGATACCCAGAAGTGGCATAACCATTATCGGGTTTGTAACACTTGGTATTGTCTTTGCATGCAAAAGTAGCCGAGTTTTTTTTCTGCCACCTCACATGTTTCGTTTCCAACGGCCCAATCGACCACCATCGGAAGCATGCTTGTGTTTTGCAATTTTCTAAGGTACGTCGGTGTGAATTTGAACTCACTTTGTTCGGCAACAAAGGCATAGCCGCAAGGATTGGAGCCTGATACATTTGTATAGTTATTATAGTTAGATAACTGGATATCAATGCTCCACACCCCTTTAGGGATGGATGTTTGGCAACAGCCAACTCCGGAACAAGAACCATCAGCGACACTGTTGAGGTTGTCGCATATAGATACGCATCCAGTTGTGGAATACTTCTCTAGCTCCTCACCTTGATAGAAATCCATATACGCTAAAGTATCACAACCGATTACTGTGAACTTATTCTCGGTGGAGATGGTAAATTTGGCAAGTTCAAACGTGGCTCCGCTATAGGACCGTTCCTTCCCCTTCCGATCATAACAATCATAGCCTACAAACTGCCAGAGCTGCAACTGACCTTGAAGGGATATCTCTGTGACATTTAGGTTACTGGTTCCCAAAAATGCAATGGGAGGGTTGAAAGAGTGGTTGCAAGTGACGAGGAAGGCTTCGTCTAGATAGCAGTCTTTAGTGATGCCAAATGGGTATGGGATTCTTAAATTCCCACAACGATCCGCGCAGCCTGGCTTGACCATGGCTGTCGTTGCTTGAGTAGCAGTTGGTGCTTCGGACAACAGGAATGCAAGGGTACTGAGGTGCACTAGCAACACATGAAAATGGTGTGCTGAGGCCATGGTCACTAATTTTTGCTAATGGTGAACTTTGTGCTTGCAGAAAATGTTGTTCTTCTTGGTCCTTTTGTAGGCACTCCCAGCCTCCAAGGAAGACAAGGTCAGCCCAGAGGTACATAGGACAGTTAAGTAAATGTTCTTGTATCCCCAAGCTTACAAAACTTGACCAAGGTGCTCCGGCTTTTGCCAATTGTGCAGGGCGGCCACACTGTCAAAGCCGTGTAATTACACTCAAGTAAAATCCACTCCCCGTGAATTCAATTATCTGGATTCGTTCAATTAATTCAACTCCCAGCCTCCAAGGAAGACAAGGTCAACCCAGAGGTACATAGGACAGTTAAATAAATGTTCTTGTATCCCCAAGCTTACAAAACTTGACCAAGGTGCTCCGGCTTTTGCCAATTGTGCAGGGCGGCCACACTGTCAAAGCCGTGTAATTACACTCAAGTAAAATCCACTCCCCGTGAATTCAATTATCTGGATTCACTCAATTAATTTCTGGATATTTCAATTTCTTAAAACCGAAAATCATTCAAACCACACATTCTATGGACTGGCGTCTCCACAATAACTCACAAACCACACATATCAGAACAGTGAGAGTGTCTAGCCTCAAACTTTGGACATTGATATTTTAATTTCTGAGGTTTTTCATTCGAAATACCCTGATTGTTTATTTTTTTTATTTTTTTTTATTAATTTTAGTTATTCATCAATAAATAATTAAGCAGTAATATTATGCTGACCAAATTTTGAGACCAAATGACTTGACAACATATTATTTGAAGTCTTTATTAGGGCCCAAATGACATGACACCAAATAAAGAAATCCAAGTCAGCTGCCATGTCATTTGAGCTCCAAATTTAGTCCCAAAATTTGATCAATGTAGCATTACTCATAATTAAGTTTAATTTGTGTTTTTCATTTATAGATTTCAAAGTTATTAAGTCCCAATTATCTCCACATCGATGAGTTCCAACATTAACAATGAGTCACTAAACTTATAAAAAATAGGGAGATATTGAAATTAGTAGGATCGGGCCACATATCTATAGTTCATACAAAATTCCTTTTTTGCAATCTCCTAGGAAAGCATTGCTCAAATAATCAGGCTCAAATACTTGCTCTCATGCCTCGCTCACTTTAACCTGGTGCAAAAACCCAAGGAATTAATTAATATAATCTATACTATTTTGTACGTTAGGCACCCTTTGGTGAAGATTTTTAATTTTCTTTTTTTTTTCTTGGTTAGATACTTTTTCAAGTAGCATTTTGGTTAGTGTTTTTGCTTTTTTGTTGTTTCCTTCTTTGAATTTGCTTCCTTCATCAAAGTTTAATCATATGTATAGTAGTATACCAGACTGATGATGCTTAAAATAAATTTTAAGTGTTAGCTTAGGAGTTCAGCTCAGACCGGGAGGTCAGTCATATTAACTGAGGTCAGAAGGCAAGGGCTGAATGTCTCTTGAGGCAAGACAACGACTGGATAACCACGAGAGATTCCTAATGCGTTAGGAAGCTATAACCAAGGCACCTAATCTCAACCAACCAAGATCTTCTCTTAGAATTAAGGAGAAGCCCACGAAATAAGGGCAAGAATCTCGGTCAAGATCCCATTGAATAGGGAACAACCCTATAAATACTATGTAACGCCCCCAAAGAAGGAGAGATGATCCTAGAGACAAAAACTAGTCATTGTACTCTTGTAATCATCATTATTGAAAGACAAGGAGCAAGAGTTTCCATTAAAGAGTGGATTAGCAGAGCTCCCGAGCTGGTAAACCACTATACTTCTTCTGTGTTAATCCTCCAACCCCTAGAAAAATATTTCTTTCATTATCATATCACCATCACTGCAAAGCATAATTACGATTCATTACTCATACAATACAATTCGGTTTACACCATCAGTTTGGCGCCGTCTGTGGGAACGACTGTTCCTGTTACAAATAAAGCTGATTTTCTAGTGACTGATGGCATCAACGCGAAATATGAGCCGAAGTCAGACCAACCCTCTACGGATGCAAGATCAACAGGAAGCCGCAAATAACAGACAATCCAAAAATGCGCAAGAAGTAGATCCTCCCATGGGGGGCCTTCCCATGAATAATGAGATGGAGGCCCTTCGTCTTGTCAATTAACGTCTGATAAAACAGAACGAATAGCTCTTAAAGCTCCAACAACGCCCACAAGAGACGCGACTAGCCCAAGGAGGCCAGAATAATCCACCACCAAGGGAGCAACCGCATCTCGACCCCCTTAGAGAAGTTAATGAGGGGTGAGAGAATAGTCAGACCTTGGGGCAAGAACTTTGCCTACCCCCTAGGAATGGTCAGAACAAGGAAGTGCAAAGTCAGTATAAAGAAGGGGAGATGAGCGACTTCTTCCCTTATCAACAAGAGAGAAGAGAACATCACTGGGAGCAATGTTTCAAAGACATCTAGCAAGAGCTCAGCCAGATGAAGGAGGTAGTGAAGAACAAGGCCCCAGTCACTATGGATGCATTGGTGCAGTAAACCGAATCCCCATTCATTGCTGGGGTTCTGCACTTCCCTCTCCCATATAAATTCAAAATGCCACAGATGGATGCTTTCGATGGGACAAAGGATCCCTGTACCACCTCAACAACTACAAAAACCAAATGGAGTTGCATGGATATCAAGATCCAGTGAGATGCAGGGCCTTTGCTATCACCCTAAAGGGCTCAGCCTTAGCATGGTTCAACAGATTCCCCTCAGCCTCGATCTCCTCTTTTTAGGAGTTGTCAATCTCGTTTGTGTCCCACTTCATTGGAGCTCGGACCTATAGGAAGTCGAGCTATCATTTGTTAAATGTGAAACAGGGATCTAATGAGAACCTACGGTCTTATGTCCAACGGTTCAACTCAGAATCCTTGAAAGTAGATGTCCCAGACGAAAAATTTACTATTACAGCCTTTATAGTAGGTCTGGGAGTTCAGTCAAAAGATCTGATATTTTTCATCTCAAAGAACCCCCAGGCTAGTATGGTGGAAGTGCTTGCCAAAGCAGAAAAGTACATAAATGGTGAGGAAACGCTCCTCTCCAAGGTCAGAAGCTCTTTGTCGAGAAAGGAGAAAGGGAAGGAAGAAAAGAAAAGAGAACGAAGTCTCAGAAAGGAAAGAGAACGAGGTAGGTCTCCAAGAAGAGACAGATAGCATTCTCCGAAGAGAAAAGGAAATGTCAGGGATCGCCTCGGCCCTCCACAACCAGAGCTACAACTGAGGTATGCACTCCGATAGCTCACCCCTCTGACTACTACGGCGTCTCAGATACTGTATAAGGTGCAACATGAGAAGTTCTTAAGGTGGCCACCCTAGATGAAAGCAGACCCGACAAAAAGGGATCCTACGAAGTATTGTGACTTCCACGGAGACCATGGTCATCACACCGATGACTGTATCCAATTGAAGAAAGAAATAGAATTTTTGATCCATCGAGGGCAGCTGCGATGCTATATGGTCAATGATAATCAAAATCGAGCTCTCTCACATCTACCCCCTCAACGTTAAGCACCCAAGTCATACCAGTAACCTATGGGGGAGATCAGAGTGATATCTAGAGGATTTGCAGGAGAAGGAGAGTCTAGCTTTGCCAGAAAGGTCCACCTGCGAAAAATCAAAGCCACAGAAACTCCTGAAGTACATACTATGTCTAAGGCTCCACGCTTAGACACGATTATCATTTTCTCAAATTCGGATCTGGAGGGCTACCAACATCCCCATGATGATCCTTTGGTGGTAAGAGTTGTGATGGCCAACAGGACTGTCCATCGTGTTTTGATTGAAAATGGCAGCTCGACATACATCATTTTTGTTTCTGCTTTCGACAAAATAGGTAAAGGATGGGAAAAGCTTGAACTAGTAAGTGCCCACCTATTGGGATTCTCAAGAGAAAGGGTGTTGCCCCTGGGGTCAATCCAACTCATCTTGACTTTAGGTGACCCACCCTGTCAGACTACAACAACTGTGAAATTCCTAGTGGTTGATGCACCTTCAGCATACAATATGCTCCTTGGAAGACCCTCGCTCAATTCTATAAGGGCTATTCCCTCTGCCTATCATCTTGTAGTGAAGTTTCCAACAAAAAATGGAGTTGAAGTGGTCCGAGAAGACCAGCGTGTAGCACGAAAATGCTACATGGCATCCATGAGAAATAAGGAGGTTGAGAGCATCCAATTTGATGAGCTTGACATGAGGGATGAACTCGAGACCAGGCCAACACCATCAGAAGAGCTGGAACCTGTTCAAATGGATGAAGAGCTAGAACATCTTGTTTATGTTGGATCCAAGATGAGCAAGGAAATCAAGGATCTACTCATCCAATTCCTGAAAAGGAACAAGGAATTTTTTGCATGGAAGCAAGAGGACATGAAAGGGATTGATCCTTCTGTCATCATTCGCAAGCTCAGCGTGAATCCAGCCTATAAGCCCGTTAAGCATAAGAGGAGGAGCTTCGCCCCGGAGCGTCAGAAAGCCATCAACGAAGAGGTCAGCAAGCTCCTTCACGCGAAAGCCATTCGAGAAGTGGATTACCCAGTCTGGCTAGCCAATGCAGTCCTAGTCAAGACGACAAACGACAAATGACGTCTTTGCATTGACTTTACAGACCTTAACCATACATGCCCGAATGATAGTTTTCCTTTACCACAGATAGATTTGATTGTAGATGCCACTGCGGGACATGAGCTCCTTAGCTTCATGGATGCCTTCTCTGGGTACAATCAGATCAGGATGGATCCCAGTGACCAAGAGAAGACTTCATTCATAACTGAGTAAGGGACATACTGCTATCAAGTGATGCTTTTCAGGTTAAAAAATGCAGGAGCCACTTACCAGCGTCTGGTGAATAAGATGTTTCAAAAATAAATTGGGACCTCTATGGAGGTTTATATTAATGATATGTTGGTCAAGTCATTGAGGGTAGAGCTCCACATTGGATACCTAGCAGAGTCGTTTCAGGTCCTGAGAGAATACAAGATGAAG